CCCTTTTCAGATCTGTTACACAGCATGTCGCCTAGTGACCAGGTGGGGCCTGAGCTGTGGTCCACCCTGAACTTCAGGTCTGAAAGCCTTGGGTATCTTGGTTAGGGCCACATCCTCACATGGTACAGTGTGAGCAGGCCCAGGAGCTTATTTGAATTTTTGACAGCTGATTTTCTTAAGTGTCCTGTCGGCAATCTCCCTAATATCTTCATCCTCTGTTGAAAATCCAGGGCTTCAGGTTCCCTGATGGATCTCCCAAGTACTTTCTAAAAACCACACCTGCTTCTGGGCTCAAGTGGTGAGAGGTTAGAGAGAGAGAAACAGCAACAGGCATCTCTCCCCGTCTTGGAGCCCAAATTACCTGAACTGAGAGAAGGGCTCCCTGCCCTTGCAGTTCCAGGTACCTGCACGATGACTGCAGGTGTTCCTGCCAACGCTGTGGGTTGATTGCCTGGGAATGGACGGGAGAAGATGGAAAAACAAACCCCCACACCCAGAAGACTTCCCTACCTTTCAGTTCCCACCAGGGCGTGGGGCCAGATTCAGGCTGTTCTTGAGCACAGCTGGGAGACACGGTGCTCTTTTAAAATGGGGGAATTACGGCGGATTCATTGGTATTTCAAATTCTCACTTCCTCCTCAGATCTGCCTGCTACCACCTGCTGTTCAGAGTCCTCAGGGGCCTGCTCCATGCCTCTGTGTGGTTGCCCTCGGTGACGGAGACCAGGTGGTGTGAGCTGTTTGCCTTGGCAGAAACGCACACCTGTTTGCCCGGCTGGGGTGCAGGGCGGAGGGAGGGGGACCTGGGGTCTCATCCAGTGCCTGCTGCCTCTCCTGGTGACCATCCCTCTGCCAAGCTGAAATGCTCAACGTCATTTCACCATCTCAGAACTGGCTTTCAGAAAACCTGCCTTCAATCCTTTGCTCTGAGCTGTTAGGTTCAGAATCAAGAGAGGGAAAGAAAGGAAGGCTGTAGAAAATGATGTTTCCTGAGAACCTTCCATGTGCCAGGCAAGGCAGCGCACATTGATTATCTTATCATTCTCAAAATAACCTTTTTTAAATAATTTGGTTTTGGTTATAGATAGACACGGTATCTTTATTTTGTTTATTTTTATGTGGTGCTGAGAATTGAACCAGCACCTCACATTTGCAAGGCAAGCTCTCTGCCACTGAGCCACAACCCCAGCCCTCAAAACAACCCTTTAAAATCATTCTTATGCTCACAGAAAATGGAATCAAGTTGGTGTTGGCCCTGGTCCCACTGTTAGTAAGCAGGAATACAGACCCAGGTGGAATGCAGTGCAGATCCCAATTCTGGCCCCCCCACCCACCCTTTGCAGACCTATGACCTGCACTCTGCCGAGCACTTCCACACATGGCAAAGGATGGAGGCTGCTCACATTTGTCTTCCAAAGGTTCAGATGCCATCTCTCTCCTTAGGTCCCATGCTTTGTGATGTGGCACCTGTGAGTGGCTCTAGGTTCTCTCCTGAACCCCTTTCTGAAGCCTTTAGGAAGAAGCGATGTCTAGCTGGCAGGCACTGCAGAAGTCGACATTTTGAAGTCATTTTGTGCCAACTGGTTAAAGTCTGCCTCCCTGAACCACCCCAGCCACCTGCCCTCTCCACCCCCAGACCTCCTGCCCTCTCCAGATTCCCACAACTCGAGGACTGAGGCTTGGGAGCCTGGCTCCAGGATCCCATCACTCTCCTGACACCCATATGATCAGCATCCACGCCCCACTGGCCGGTCACTGGGCTGGCCCCTCTGCTCAGAAGTCGTCTCTGGACCATAGCTACGTCATCTTTTCTGAGGGGAACTGAAGGCTCATTTTTTGTCAACTGACTGCCATTAACTCCACATTGAGTTGAGCGAGAGACACACTTAACTACAGAGGACTCCTGGTTCCCTTAGGAAACCGGAGAGCCTCACCCAGTGTCCCGGGCCAGCACCTTCGAGCGTCTGGGAAACACGTGCAGAGCCTGCATCCTGCACCACCGAGGTTCCCCCCTGCTCCCACCCCAGCTCCTAAGACCACTGATCTCGTGACTTAGAAATGCAATAATGTTCCAAGGGCCTGGATCTGGGTTATAGAGAAGACAATTAAGGATAATTAAAAGCAAAGGACTTCTTTACAGTTCTCACAGGTGAAAGCCATGAGCTGAGTTCCTATTTACAAACTCACTCCACAACCCATGAACCAACCAAGCTGCCAGGGCCCTGCTCGTAGCACTCGCACCCTAACGTGAGGCTCCTGACTAATCAGGTGGTCAGAAGCAGCAGATCCAAAAGCAGAATGGGGAGGTGCAGGGATTTGTCCCAGCAGTAAATAAGGACAAATGACGGCCTCGGCAGGACCACGAGGAGGACGCTTAGCGTCTCTCTGCCTGGGGCTGCTGATGCTGGGGCAAACGCCCCGTGGACAGTGTTCTGCTACAGCAGCTTCGGGGGATCTTGGGGACAGCAGACTGTCACAGCAGATCCTAAAACCCTGAAGTGATGATACCGCAAGGTTAAGAAGAGACACATTGTGGCCTAAGGTGCTTTCCAAGAAGATGATTCTACCAAAATCAAAAATTTCCATGTCGAGAGCAACAAACTCCAGCTCTCCAGGACTCTGCCACCCAGCACGGCTCTTACCCACAATGACCACGTTCTGGAAGAACCATGGAGGACGCTGAGAGAATGGAAGGGGAGGAGGACAGTGTGAGGCATTTCCTGCCGACCAGCTAGACTGTCATTCCGCATGTACATAAACAGCCTGAGGCATCATTACATGATAAATATATATGATTTTATCTGTCAACTCAAAAATAGTTCAGACTTTTAATGAGATTTTGGACATTCTTTTTTCCAATACCAAGTCTTTGGAATCCAATGTGTATTTCAAACTTATATCTCAGTTCAGGTACTAAATTTTCATTAGAAAAACTTTATCTGGCTTAAGATTTAATGAAATTTATGATTCAAAAAGTAGAATCACATGCTCAAGTTGTTATAAACTTAAATTTTTTTGATAACAGAATTAATCATCAAAAATTCAACTTTATGTAATATTCCAATCTAGATTGACAAAACTGGCTTGTTTCTTTAGAAGAATTAATTTGATTTTGAAGAAAAAAACTGTGTCTATCTGCTGGATATGCTGGCACACACCTGTAATCCCAGCAACTCCGGAGGCCAGGGCAGGAGGACTGCAAGTTTGAGGCCAGTCTCATTAACTTAGTAAGACAAGGTCTCAAAAAATAAAAAGGAAAGGGATGGAGATCAGTGGTAGAGTATCCTTGGGCTCAATCCCCAGTATAAAGAACAACACCACCAAATACATCTATCCAAGTTTAGGGAGTTCACAAACTTTTGTAGCAACTTGTTAATATTAATACAGACTTCATAAATCATTCATAAATCATTAAGCAACTCTAACTTATGACACTAACAACATTCTTCAAATTCTACTTGCAATTTTTCAGTGAACTGTAATAATGTCAAATTAAAATAAACTATTTGCATATTTAATTTAGAAAAATATGTACAGCTATAATATTGATTTGTGTCATGAAAAGTTTCCATTTTAACACAAAAACTCGTTATGGGTTGAATTGGGTTCCCCTCCAAACAGATTCATTGGTGTGCTAACCTGCAGTCCCTCAGAAGTGACCCTTCCAGAGAGGCAGACCCTCCACAGAGGTGGTCAAGGTAAGATGAGGCCATGAGTGGACCTTGGTCCAGCACAGCTGGTGCCCTGATAGCACAGATATGCACAGGCAAGGCCACCTGCAGACAGCGTGGCAGAAGCCTGGAGCCGCTCCTCCCCAGCAACTGCAGACGCCTGACCACTGCACCTGGACTTCAGACGTCTCAGCTCTGTATCCGTGAGACCACTTGTTGGTGCTGTCCTCAGCTGCCCTACAGTACATGGCCAGTTTTAAACAGCAGCCCTAGGAAACTAGCACCGTCCTTACAGAACCAAGTCACAAAGAAGCCTTGCCTCTCACCACACCTTCACACCAAGCTGTTCCATGATGAGAAAATGTAACCACACTGCCTGGTTTTGTCTTTGATTCCTGAATATTTGCCAAGCATTTCTTTTGCATCAGGAATTGGATCAACAGTGTAGGTCTTCCCTGACTTAACCAACGTGCTTTGGCAAAATGTACGAGATTGGAAAATTCAATCTTTCCATAAATTGGTGTGTTCATAGCATTTGAAGAATTTATGTTGCCTCAAGAGAAATCACATCACATCCCAGGATATGAGAACGTAGCCTCATGACACAATTCTATTCGGAGGTGCAGGGGGCACAGAGAAGGCTCTGGAGCCAGGCAAACCAGGGTGTGCTGCTCAGTGCCACTCTCCACGTCCCTTGCCTCTGTTCAGACTCCTGACCTGCAGAACAGGCACATGCCACCTTCTTCACAGGTCATCGGGGGCTAATTTAGATGGCTTGGCTAACAGCCCCCTGTTCACTTCTTGGCATGCCCTCAATAAATGCCTTGCTCTTCCCTTGGGGATCTCTGAGGCTCCCTCTGAGCTTACTTGGGTGTCTTCTGCCTCGTGCTCCCTGTTCTCTGGCAGCTGTTTAACCAGCTCAGGTCTCCTCCCCTCCTCTCTCCCCTTCCCATTGCATCCCAGCACAGTCGCCCCCTCCAGCAAGTATGAACTTGTGTGTAAAAACCGTACGAAGTGTCCAGCCGTACTTGTCTGATGGGTGGGACTCCACAAAATACCCAGCGAAGGGACAATAGATGCGGGGCTGCAGGTCCTTCACCAGCTGAGCCTTGTAGTTCAGCAGCTTCTTCCTCTCTGTCTTAATGAACTGGGCTTTCCACTCCTCTGCAATGACAGTATTTGGGTTAGAGTCTCCTCTGTTCAGAAACCACAGAAAAGCAGATGCTCTGATAAGCCGGAGCTTGTTCAGAAGGAAGATTGACAACTAGAGCAGAATAAAGCTCTGAGGCACTGGGTTTTCTCCTTGATAGGGGTAATTTTTTGGACCCTAGCTAAATACATAGGTCAGCATGTATAGTTACACCTTGCGTGTGAGCACATTTTAAAGGCACTTAATTCTAACTTTTTAATAACACACATAAATGATTATTACCATACTTTTAGTGTATTATAAAAGTATAATAAAAGTATTATAAAGCCTATTTATCATGCGTTTACAATGCAAGCAATTAAGAGTATAAATGTTGAATCAGATTTAGGATCAAGGTCCTGCCCCACCATATACTGGTTGTGCAATATTGGGTTAAACTACCTATTTTCTCAACGTAGGCTTCTTCCTCTGTAACCGGAATCCTGATGTCTACGTCACAAGATTGTCATTCACCAATCCATTCTCTCAATCAATATCTGTAGTGCACCTACTATGGGCTAGAAGTGGTTGTAGGCACTGGGAATACAGTAGTGAACAGGACCAGGCAGGTGCCTGCTCTCGGGAGCATCTGCTCTAGTGAGAGGAGCAACTAAGAAAAGTCTTTACAGAGAGGTAGGTGCTAGGAAGAAACTGAAACTGGGCCAGAGGACAGAGGATGTCTGGGGCAAGTGGGTGGGAAGGAGGGTCTTTAGGCAGGGTGGTCAGGGAACCAATGGCCGTTGAGACTTGGACAAAAAGATGGCAGTCACGCAGTTTGTGGGAAGGAGGACCCCAGGCAGGGGAAAGAGCCAATGCAAAGCCCTGGCAGGAGGGTATTTGGAAAGCCAAGGGTGAGGAACAGAAGGCAGGCAGGGAGACGGCTGGGAGACAGCAGGCATCGGGAGACGGGCGGGAGAGTGAGCTGGGAATTAGGCAGGACCAGAGTGTGCAGGGCCAAGGGTCAGAGAGCCGTTACTATCGTTATTAGGGTCAGAGAGCCGTTACTATCGTTATTGCCATGACATTTGATAAAGATAAGAACATAAGAAAAACAGCAGCTACCCATAACCCAGATACAGGCACTGATAGCATTTCTGGCTCTTCCAGCTCCTCCCGGATGCTGATGCCTGCACACACACTCACACCGACAGGCACGGTGCCGGCTAACCCGGAGTGAGTGCCTCCCTAGCACACCGTGAGCTCCCAGGGCCAGAAGCCTCCCTGACTTCCCTGATCCTGGAGGCCGTGAAGCCGACTGCAGAAGGAAGCAGGGGCCTAGGAGAGGCTACTTCGTTCCACAAGGAGGGCATTTCCTGCCACATTGTCAGACAGGGATCGTTACTAACATGGTGATCCGCTAATCAGAACTAGTGAGCACTCAGATGCTGAGCTCGAGGATACCTAATGAAAGAAATACACCACTTACACGTTTTCCTCATGCTAAGCCGTGCTCTGTTCTTGCAGCACCCTGAGTAAAAGGGCTCCTGTCTGGGATCCCACAGTTTAGAGGGCTTCTTCTGTCCATGCCCCTCCCTGCTGAGTTTACACAGGGACAACAGGACCTGCCACCTGAGCTGTTCTGGATCACATTCCAAGGGCATTTAAGCCTGGGCACCAGTCTCACACCTTCCCCATTCTGCTGGGCTCCAGAAACCCCGTTCAATCTTTCTCTTAGCTCTTCCTGTCCTGCTTCCTGATCTTGGTGTTCCTTTCATGTACCACCATCAGATTCTGAGCTGGGAGCCTCAGTTTGCAACATACGTGGCTGTCAGTCTGGTTTCCCTGGAAGGCTGCAAACTTCTTGCAGGGAGGAGGCACATCTCCATTATCTTTGTACTTATTCTCACATCACTGAGCAAAGAGCCATGCCTGATGTTTGGTATCTCGTTGATACAAAATATTACCAGTGAATTTCCCACCGCTGAAGGTCATTGGAAAGCCTGATGCTCCTCCAGCAAAATCACTCATCATCAGAGCAGCGTTCACGGGCAGCCTTCCCCCATTGGGTCTGGTGCAGTCCACGGTGTTGAGTATCTTGTGACCTGTGGAAAGAGAACACGTGTTCAGGTGGAATCTCAAACAGCACAGCTTGAGTTCCCACGCCAGCAGTCTTCTAGGTACGCTCTACAATCTGACTTATTTTACTATAGAATTGGTAACATTCAAGGAAAAAAAGAAGAAAATTGCAAAATATAAAGACTTCAGTAGCATACTCTAAATTTTCAAGTGAATCACAGCATTTGATTGAGTAGATTCTGGTGTCTCAGGAAGACAGTTAGATTGATTCCACTTTGGGTCACAGATAGATCGCCCGTCTCAACCAACTCTCTCCAGACATTAAGCAGAAAGGATGCAAAGAAGGAAGAAAGACTGGATCATCTCGAATCCCTCTATCTTTTGCAAATTCTATGCAAAGTTCATACTTAAGTGATTATCAAGGCAGGAGAACCATGTTCTCATAAGAAAGTCCAAACTATATGATTGAATTTCCTAATGAAATTTTAAGATGAAAGTAACTAAAGACATTTATTCACAAAAGATACTTTTGAAAAAAATACTATAAATATAAAAATACAATAAAATATAAGAACTACTATAAAATATAAAATATTGATTGCCCCGTAGAAAAAATCTTCACCCCTCTCATATGTACATTAGATTATTGGTAATTTTTTTCTCTGAAAAGAACATAGGAATGGCTACTCGTCTTACTTAAGACAAGGATACAATGTACTCTATCCTCTGAAAATGAAGATACAGAGAAGATGAGAACAGGATGAAGCTGCAGATGGCTGCCACCATCGCTCCTACCCAGAGTATTTTTCATTTTTCATTGTTGCTAAGGAGGAGAAAGTACCTTTGTACTCCACAATAATGCAAGTGTCCATCTCAGGATGAACGCCATCCATCAAGATCATGAATCGAAGATTTTTGTCTACCTGGAATTTAACAATAAAACCAACAACTGTGTATATCAGTTTGGGCTTTAATCCAGTATTTGATAAGGTTGTCACTTCTGGAAAGACTGGTCAACCAGACCTTTTTTTAAAAACCTTTCAGACAATTTTTTAAAAGCCCCTTATTTGGAATGGGATTTATTACCCTGTTATTGTTGTCAGTGGAGATAAATCGTCTTTTAATCCTCTTTTACTTAACTGTGCAACATTTGAAGCTTAAATGAAGGCAGTATTTACCCAGCACAGGTCCAAACAACATGGCCTTTTCTCTTAGCCACCTTATCTAAAGTCAACCTCAGAAAGCACAGGTGGAAAGTACAGAAGGCAACCCATCTCTGACCTGCTGCCATGCTCCAAATGGCACCACGTTGATGTTAGTCAACTGGACCCCACTGTGTTTCAGATTCCAAAACACTGGTCTTTCCGTGTCGCCAACATAAATGGGAACATCGGGTCGTCTCTGGGAAAGCTTCTGTAGTGTCGGGTAGCTAGGATCAGAGAGAGGGAAAGGTGAAAGATGGAAAATAGGGTTGTCTAGGATAAGAGACTGTCCGTTCCTGAGACCAACACCGTGACCGAAGAGCAAGGAATTGAAAATCAGACCCTCACCAGAGACCAGAGAAGCATCTCTGCTCACGGCTGATTAAAGTGGTGAGGAGAGTCTCCAGGAGATTGCACTTTCTCCTCAGAGCGTGCACGCACCACACGGTAGCTCTGTAGAGGGTCGTTATGTGCCAAGGTTGTGCGTGCCAATGTGGGGTATGGCGAGGACAAATGATGAACGGCCATTCGCCTACTGTATTTCACATGTGCACGAGCTCTAGGCTCTTCTTCACACTTTATTTGATTCTCACAAAGAGTTCTGAGGTTGTTTGTGGATGAGAAAACATCTTCAGAAATGTACAACTCACAAATAGTATGTTGGCACTCACATCTGGATTTTCTGATTCTGAACCTGGTGCTTCTTTTAGAAGGCAGGTCTAACTTTCAAGAATGTCCTCTCCAGTTTAAGAATCAGACTCACACACAGAATAAAATGTCAGGTGAAATAAAATATGTAATCATAAGAAGAGTGTAAGCAAAGTCTACGAATGGGATTTATCAACTGTACTGACAATGTTCACATTCCAACACTGTTAAAACAGGTCCAGTGGGCAAGAACTGCCTGGCTTTCTTTGAATAAAGACTGTCTGCTAGAACACACTGACCATTTCCCTGGTTTTTCTGATTCAGGGAGGTCTTATTCAATAAATAAAGATCAGAAGGTATGACTGGGGGCAAATGAACTCAACACTTATTGTTGGACTAAGAAAGAGTTGAAAATGGTCAACCAAGAAATGGCTCCAGGGAGTAAAAGTCACAAGCTTCAGCAACTTTCCAGTGATGGGTTCTTGGCAACCCACTGCACGGGTGTCGGGCACTACAGTGGAACCTGGTGTCTTGGTGCATGACAACTGTGCCACACAAGCCTCGGAAGCTAACCTAAAAAGGTTTCAGCCAGTGGCTAAAGAATAGACTGACTAGATGACATTCAAAATTCTTACCCATGCCCCTAAAACTCAGTGCATTCCCAGAGAGTGTTCTCATTTGAACTTTAGGCAATTACATTTTATAGCAGACACCATAAAACAATTGCCTCGTTATCATGACACTGTTATCATGGTGCCATGACCAACCATACAAAGTCGTACCACACACGTCACTATGCAGCACAAGAACCCAGGGTCTCATAAGCCTAAAGTTGTGCAAAGTTGGTTCCGAGGGCTTGTGGTACCACCACACTGCAGTGGGCTGAGGTCAGTTAAGGAGCGTGTTGCAGGTACTCTGTTACTAAGTCAGTTAATTAAGAAAATTAAACTACTGCCTTTAAAAAATAAAAACAGAAGTGTATCCATGCCCATAGTTCCCGTGTGCTTTAGAATAGACCAGCAAGGAGCCAGTCACCAACGGCCAGCCTATTAACCCTAACCGTCACGTAGGAGAAGGCGAAGC